TGTCCCTAAGCCATCATTGCAGTTAAAAAGACCTAACTTTGAAATGAAATCAAACACATTTATTCAGTTCTAGGGTACAGCTGTTGTGATATCAATGGCCTGGACTCAAGGAAGGTCCTAGTTCTGTGTTCCAGTGAACTATATTTAAGATCTTTTTCACTCACAGGAACAGGGTTATGGCTGCAGGACAGCATTTATATGCATCTTCCTCTGTGTTTCTAGGAGTACAAACACCTGTGATTATTGAGGGACAAAAGCAGGTGTTTTTTCTCAAGCATAGTTATAAGGCTGAAAAAAAGTGCATTTATTACCAAAGGCATGCAGTCTCTGCATGCAACTTACAAATATATTTATTTACTTTTGGAGTTATTTGTAGTTGAAGTTTGTTCTACATGATCAAAAAATTAGCTACAAAGTTAAGACTGTACTGTGGAGTACAAGTGTAATGTCAGGCAGGGACATTTAGTACAGACATAGACTGGTAGAATGTAGGAACTTCAGGACCAGATGCAGTCAATGATGCAGTTCCTGTATCTTTCATACCCAGATGTGTGGCACACCTAGTACAACAGCCTGTGGAAAGGCACCAGAACAAACTACAGGCTCAGGATTAAGTGCAGGACTCTGCCCTTCATGAGGTGAAGGTATTGTGAGATTGTGGGAACTATAAAGTCAATACCAGCTGTGAAGGACTACAGAGGAGGGTAACCAGTGCATCCTCTGGGATCCAAAGAATAATGGAACAAGAAATGCAAGGGATAAATTATCTGTTGCCTGGATGATCCTAGTTACAGGGAAGAATTCAGAAAGATCCTTAGAGAAAGCCTGAAGAAAGTTCTGAGGAGAGTTCAAAATTTACTGCAGAGATTTCATAAATTCAGAATAAGACCATGCCAGCTCAAAAGAGCATCTCAGAATCCAGAAAGTTGCTAAGTGGCTATTTTAAACTGCTTTTGTAAAATTAATTTCAAATATATAAGCTTTAATCACTCCAAGATCTGGCTTAATTCCAATACCACTGGTGCAGACTCACAGGGAAGTCATAGCAATGCAGCAGCACACATTGTCTCCAGAGATACGGTTTCTGTGTGCACCTCCTGCGCTGGGGAACTGGCAAGGCTCATCCACCACACAGGGACAAAATTTCAGTGTGTATTTTGGTTTTCTCTTCGGGACAGCAGCCAGGCTTGTGTTGTGCCCTCAGTAGTTATCAGTGGAGAAGTCATCCCAAATTCAGAATTTACTTTAGATTAATTAGAGCTCTGCACTATAGAAGAAACACTACATCTTTAATCCTTAGCTGACATCAATGTTATGTAGCACGAGCAAGAAATGCAGGTGGACACACAAACCTAGTGTTCTTGTCTACTGGCTTAAATACCACAATACCTTTACAATGGTGTGTTTAGACATAGCATATGCTATGATTCTTCCTTCGTCACACTGTTGGGGTTTAGGATCAGTAATAGATTTTTTTAAAAAGTTAAAACTTTTTAAGTTTTTAATCAGAGGTGGATGTTAGAAGGAGAGGACGAATTTGGTATTGTCAAGATGTAGAAAGAAACATGTTTGGTTAAATGAAAGGTATTATGGGAGGAGAAAATAAATGGAAGAAAGAAAGTTTTGACAGAAAAGTTAACTGAGATTCTATTGCTTGTGCTCAATTTATTCTTCTTTTCTTTTTCTTGACAAAAAAGTTAATCTGAAGATTTTAGTACTGAAAAGAATATGAGGAAGCAATTATAACATGGGGGAACATATGATTTTCCCATTTAAAAACTGTTTTGGTGCTGTTTCTCCACATTTGTAGTTTCATTTCTAGTTGAACTTTCCAGTTAATTTTTTAATGTAATCCAAGCATGTCTTTGAGGACATGTCAATCGTCAGCATTTTTAAAGGCAAATTACTTATTTCAGTATTGAAATACGGATTTAGAATATTACCTGTAGGCAAATATTAAGAAGAAGAACAGGAACTAGACCTCCTCTTATACCAGCCACATGTGATTGATTCTTGCCTCTTATCTTTCTAAACAGTGCAAACATAACAACTCTTCTGTTTAGCATCCAAATCCAATGAACTATCCATTATTTGTGAAATTTTGTTTGTAATAGGGCTAGGTGGGGAAAAATGTTTGATGTCACTGCTGTGTCACTGTCCTGATTTCAACAAAATCAGTACTGAGCTTTTTTCCCTAAAATCCCTGTTTCCACTTCAGTGAAAAAGTGGCTTAATAATGAGAAATGATCAGCTTGAAGGCAACAAAATTAGAAGATTTAAAAAATCAATACTCCCTAAAAGATAAAAGCATATCTTTATCTAGGGAATCACTGCAAGTATTTCCAAGGCACAGACGGGAAAAGAGAATCCAAACTATAAAGAATAATAAGAAACCTATTCCGATTTAAAAGAGATAGTGAGAAATGTAGCATATTTTTCCTTTATTGCCAAGGGAAGTACTGAAGAAAGTCATATCAAAACTGACTTCCTGGAACAGCATGGAGATGCATGAGACTTTTGTATTCTTCATCCACTGTTCTGTGATTATTAGATTGTGTAGATGTGTTTAGGAGATGGTCTAAATTGATTCCTGCCATCTCAAGTGTACAGAGGAGAAGAAAGAACAGGTAAGAAGCCAACACATGCCAATGGAAAGATTTCCACTGACTGCAGTTGCCGTCAGATTAAATGCCAAATAGTCTTTAGATTAAAAAGTTTATTTAGTAGGTGATTTTGTCAATTCAAGCCTACAATGTGTAACATAATGTTTGCAATTTTTTGCATTGTTATACCAAGGAAATATTTCCCAGGTTGCGTGCAACTTACCCAAGCAAAGTAAAGGCCCTTGTATATTCTGTGTGTACAGTATTTCTCCTGCGTGCCCTGCCCTCACTATGTGAAATTCACCCTAGATGTCCAAAATGACAAAATGACTACCTGTAACTCTTCACATACGAGACACAGCAACTGAGAATAACTGCCCCGGTGCTTACACGAGAATGGTTTTATATCTCCCTGATAAGACAGATACTGGTGAAGTTACATTACTAGAACGTGGGACCATATAGTACAGAAAGATGAAGTAACTGGGGTTTATTCTCAACAAAATCATAGTTTTAAAAAAATCAATTACTTGTTCTGCACCATTGATCACTGTCCAAATTGATTTTTTTGTTACTTCATACAGAAAGATCAGAATAAAGACAACTTTACTGAAGAAATGCAGATTCCAGTAAATATTTCAATAAGCCAAGTTTCAGTTTCATCTGCATCTGCTGTAAATATCAACGTAAGGCCAAATCCTTTTGGCTTTATCTAAATGAATCCAATTTCAGTTAGCTTGCTGGGACTATTTATCCCTGACTGGCCTCAGAATATATAGTAAATGCAAAGCGCAACCTGATTTTAATAAGCCATTCCTACTGGGAGCTGTAAAACAGGGAAAAAAAAGTGAAAATCCAGTTCTTTGAGGAAAAAAAAAAAAATAAAAAATCTCACTTTCTTATTATATCCTTTGATTTAAATTATAGAGTTGTAATTAAAGATTACATTCTTTTAATCTGAAAATGAGGCTCTCTCAATAATATAAGGTGCTGTTTGGCTTAAAGCACTAAGAGTTCTTTTCATTGAATCATATATTTTAAAACCATATTGTGTGAGTCTCTTTACTGTCCTCTTTTCCCTGCCTCTTTTGCATAATATATTGGTATGTAATAGGAAGCAGCACTGCAGTTACAATTTAACAGGAAACACAACTGTTTATTGAACCAGATACCCATTATTAATTTAACAACCAAATACAAATGCTTCTGGCAATCAGTGCAATAATTCTGTTTCCTTGATTACTTAAGGTTTGCCATTGGCTTCAGTGGAAGCTTAATCCAGCCCTCAGAGGGGAGAAGTGCTGCTTTTTAACACTTGTAAAGAAAGAACAAGTACCAACCTAATTCGGTTATCCTGCATGCAATTCCCCCTGTCATCTTTTATAGACATAGACATCTCTCATGTGGCTTTAGGAAGAGATTAAAACTATTCTCTTTTTCATCATTTTCCTCATATTTTACATCTGGCTTGGAATGTGAAATATGTGCAGTAAAGAGTCTACACATAATTTTTTAATTTACAAGTAAATGAGTTATAAGAGCTCATAGTAAGTGAAAAAAGGTTCCCATCTTTGTCTTGAAATTGTATTACCTACATTTTCAAGCAAGTGTTTCACCATTCAAGTTGGAGCACTGCATAATAGGGCCTGTAGAGATGTGTACATTTCAAAGGTGATCTGGAGAAAGCTACACCAGAGATTAATTGGGCCCAATGAGACTCTAGAGGGCAGTCTTGGTATAGTAAAAGAAATATCTATTTTTCTGTCATTAGAAACCTCAGTCATGTAGAGTCAGTACAAAACGTTATAGCATAGTTTAAAAAAGCACCAATATTTTCAAAGTAGATTTTAACAAAGTTGCTTAATTTGATATGAAATACAATTACCTTTTGCTGTAAGATAATAATTCACAATAATACAATGCAATTAAAAAGTCAGTATACCTTTTATACTATTAACTAGGATATCCATAGGCTATAATGAATACATCAGAAACCAAGTACAAAATATGGTTTCCTTCTTGGTTTTAGTTAGTTCAAGCACTCATCAATTCACAAGATGCATTTCCATCAGCAGTTTAAAACTCTACCAAAAGTCCACCAGAAGTCATTTGCTTAAAGAGAGTAGAATAAAATCCAACATACAGTGCAGATGCAAATTTAATGTCAGTTTTTAAAAGATGTGTTTTACTTTATAAGTAATTAATCTTTATACACAAGTTTTGACTATTGTCGGCAGAAATCAAAATTGCGTGCCTTGTAAATTTTTAATTGAGCAATTCTTAGATTAAAAAAATGCATTAGTCACTTTGACTGTGTTTAATATTTTAGAAGAAGTTGTTCTGCAAGAAAACAAATCATTGGTAATGAAAAACAATGCATTGCTTGTAAGTACTAACTGTGCAAACTTTTGAAACATGTAACCTTTGTTTCTTTACAGGCAAACAATATTGCAGTCTTGTTTTAATATAGGATCTTACTTCCTGTGTAAGACTTTCATCTGTATCTTTCAAAACCTTTAGAAGAGGAAAGAGAATCATTATTCCCATTTTATAGAGGGGCATTGCCTTCTCTGTTGGCTACAGCAGTCATATCGCCTAGTTGGTGAAACAAGGTTCATCACGCAACTGCAGCTTAGCTGGTTCAGGTCACACACACAAGGAGGGTGAAAGACTGGGACTGGTGCTACAAAGGCAACAAGCCAAGCTCCAATCCCATGAATTTCTGCTCATCCGTCCTTCATTCCTGAAGCAATTAAACTTCCTAGATGTCCCCATCCTTGACCTTGAAAATTTTGAGGATCAAAGAGTCTTAGTTCCATTGTTTTTCTAAGCAGGAGGATTTTTTCTGCTTTAGATCTGCTTGTTTATGCTCATACTTGAGCTGGAGTGTGCAACTATCTGTTTTTCTGCCCACATCACATGGGTAGTTGATCAGCTGCAGTCTCAGCACCCCTCTACAAACTGGATTTGGTAGCCAAAAAATACAGCTGCATCCATTTAAAACACAGCCAGGTAAAAAGAAACTACATTTAAGAAGTGTTCAAGACAAGGCTGGATGGGGCTTTGAGCAACGTGGTCTAGTGGAAAGTGTCCCTGTTCATGGCAGCAGTGTTGGAACTGGGTGAGCTTTAAGGTCCCTTCCAACCCAAACCTGTGAATCAATTCTGTGATTCTATGAAAAATATTATCACATGGTTACAGACCTTCTTTTGATCTGGCAAGTAGAGCATTCACCCATACATGGAAGTTGGATTCATTCCCTCTCTGGCCCAGGAGGCTTCAAACCATCATTTTGTGCAAGTTTATTTTTCCTAGTTTAGTGAGATGTCAGCCTGCACGCAAAGAAAATAAAGAAAATTTATAGGGCTAGTGGGGGAAATAGGGAGGAACTTGGAGAAGGACACACTGTAGGGATATTGTAGGGAATCTCTGTGCTAACCATAGGCAGGCGGGGGTGCCCTACCTATTAGACCAGGTAAGAAGTATTTGCTGAATAATTCTGCCTTTTCTACAATGTTATTCCCATTTTTAAACACTGTTAATCTATCCTTGGCCTGTGCTGATGCAATGCTTTAAAGTAACAGTAATAATGATAGTGTACATTTGAAGTCCTACTGTTTTTCTGCTTGTGGATGTGCCTTTCATCTCTCCCTGAACGTATACAGAGAAGCTTTCTCAAGTTATGAGTATTTTTCATTTTGTGTCTGAATTTCAAAACTGAATGCAAGGTTCCTGGTGGTCAGTGCTTATGCTGTTTTGCAGGCTCTGAAACTAGGATTCTTTCTCTCATAAATTAAACCAACCAACCAACTATGCCATCCTTTGCCCACTAGAACATACCTTCAGATTCCTCTTGATAAAAGGGGCCCTTAACGAGATTTTCTTGTGATATCCAATTTCTTAATTCAAATTGTCATTGGCTTTGTGTAATGTTTGATTGAGATTAATACCAAAGAGCATAATGTCTAAAAAACCCCAAACTTGCAGAGTCTTCTCTGTTCTAAATTTCCTGCAAAGTTTGCTAAAGCATAAAGTGTAGGCAACTTTATATACACTTATGGGTTTGAAATATATATATCACATGAACCAACTAATGTTTTTGTTGATTTTGTTCTTTTAAAGGGAGAATAGTTTATTAAAGATCAAGTTCTTTGAAAATATAATTTTTTTTTTTATGTAAGTAAGAGTTTTATGTGCACGTCTCCTCCAGCAAATACAGAAAAATATCTGTAGGAATATCTGTAATTTCCACTCAGACAATTATTTGAATTAAAACAATATAATGCAGGAAAGCAAAGTACATTTCATGAAAATTTACTTTTCTGTTACAATTCATTCTGTTACAATTATTACCAGAGCTAATAACCCTAACTCTCATAGAAATATGAACAGTAGAATTTTTTGAAAGTTTTCAATTCTGCAGTAGATCACATCATCTAACAAGCTTCAGATTGCTAAGAATAAAAGCATATTAAAGATATGACAGGGTTTGGCTACCTCATCGTAAGAAGTGAATGACATGATAAATTGGGGGGGGGGAGGGGGAGGAGTTTTAAAGTTGAGTTAGCTGTTTGTAGCAACAGCTAGATACCATTTCTGGTAAATATCAAAATAAATCAATATAAGAATAGTAAAAGAATTGATTACAATCTGCTGATCTCAAATGGTAATTGTAAATGACAATACATAATCAAATAGATATATTACCCATAGTACAGGTTACCACAATATTGAAGGAACTGTAAATAATAAGGTGCCTACATGGAACAACTGGATTTTTTACAAATTTGTGTGCAAATTATCATTATGTGCTTTGGTTCAGAGAAGTACAACATACGTTACTTATCACATATAATGTGATGGGCAGGGTAAAGTGTCACTTTAAGGGAAAGTGTAATAGCAGCAACTGAGAAAGCATTTTTCTTCAACTATGAATAACCAATTGAACTTGGACCCTCCCATCCAATGCTGAGCCTAAGAGTATATTTTTATGGTCCTTCACAGACAGATACTATCCATATCAGTTTGCCCATATTCCAAACCAAACAAAAATCACTTAGCAGCATTAATGCACTGCTGAGACAAAGTCAATACCTTTTGTCTTGCTCAAGGCTTTTTGTCTGCTTTTATCAAAATACTAACTAGAGCTACGTGGCCACAAGGTGTATTGGAAAGTGGAGCTGAGCTTGCTCATTTCTGCCTAAAAACCAGGATGTAATTGTACCCTAGAGACAGCTAATCTGGTCTTGAAGGGAGAGATCTACTTTTTCAATATATATAATAAAGGAAGAGATAGATACCCAGTAAGTTTAAGGAGGTGCAATATTGAGACCACACTCGAGCTGACAACATCTTTATTCAGTGCCCCATGGTCTCAAAAGGTATGTTAATAACCATAACAATAGAAATTTCCTCAGACATCACTTTCGTAAAATCGATGGTGCCCTCTGAGGCAGTCAGCCCTTGCTTTAACCTATTGTCCAACATGAAACACAGTTCAGCAAAATTTGCAACAATTGCAGATGTTCCTACAGCTTGCTGGGTTAGAAGCCAGTCCTTCCAGAGATGCTGTCAGTATCTCCAGGTAATGGTAAGTGCAACTTACCATTAAGAGTGAGTCCAGCGGAGGGTTGTAAAGGTGATCAGAAGGCTCCTATGGAGACAGGCTGAGAGTGCTGGGCTGGTTCAGCCAGGAGAAGACAAGGCTCCAGGGAGACCTTGTAACAGCCTTCCAGTACCTAAGGGAGTCCAAGAAGAAATCTGGAGAGGGACTTTTTACAAGGGCAGGTAGTGACAGGACAAGGAGGGATGGCTTTAAACTGAAAGAGGGTGGATTTAGATTACATATTAAGAAGAAATTCTTTGCTATGAGGGTGGTGAGACACTGGAACAAGCTGCCCAGAGACATTGTGGCCACTGTGGCAGTGTTCAAAGACAGGTTTGATGGGGCTTTGAGCAATGTGGTCTAGTGGAAGGTGTCCCTGTGCATGGGAGGAGGGGTTGGAAATAGAAGATCTTTATGGTCCCTTCTAGCCCAAACTATCCCATGATTCTATGGTACACTATTCAGAGTACACCAGATAATTTTACCTTCAGATGTTATTGCGTCAGCCTTTACAAGACTTTCATGAGGCAAAACCTTGAACTCCAAACTGTTTTTCTAGTCATTATACAAAAATTACATGAATATAAACACTGTTGACTGTCTCATCTGCTGTATATATTTACCTTTCTAGCAAGAAGGATGCCGTTTCTTCTCCTTTAAAGGAGGAAGAGAAAGATTTTAGAGACATAGGTCCTGAGTGATGAGTGGAAACAGAATACACAATGTGCCTGACTTCTATTATACACACACTCAGATACTAACACGGGCTGAAAAAGATGGGTGCTTTTAATCAAGGTCATTTATGCAGTTGGGTGCACTGAAGACCTTGTGCTGTGGCAACGAGTCTAGAATTTCTCCTCCTGAATAGAATAACTAACAAATAGCTACAGCTGAAGATATGAATTCAGTATGAATTAAGAGAGATGTAAATCACTGTCAAATTAACAAGGTTGACAAAGTGGTTCAGAAGTTCAGCACTGCTCTCTGGAAGTGTGAAAACATAACACAAAGGATACAAATGAAACCTGCGGGACTCCTCTTAGGGGTCATTAATCTTCATATCATGCTAACGCTTTATCAAAGTGATTTTACAAAAACTACAAATAGACATTAGTTTTGGTCTATAGAAACCCTCAAAAACATTTAGATGTGCTTTTCTTTAAGATACTGGGGCAAGGGCACCCAACAGCCATTTAACGGGCATTAGGGCCAGGGCAAATGCAATGTGCTAGGTCTGAAATGCAAGGGTTATCACTAGAGTAAAGCTAAGAGACCTCTACTTGGCTTCTTTCTGTACAGGGGGAACCTTAGCTGGCAAAGGGCTAAGGACTAATCTTTTCAAGTATAAAGGAAATGTCTCAGATAATGATTAATCGAGAAGGAGTGGCAATTCTTCTATCAAGAACATGCTAGAGGATTAGATGTCTTGCTTTTCCCTGTCAGGATAGAAGATTATTCGCGGTTGAAAAGACTTGAGTGCTAGCAAGGTCAGCAATATTACTTTTGTTAATCTTGATGTGGTGCGATGTTTCTTATTTAATGCGTTATTTGTATATCTTTATACTGTGTAAAAAAGAGCTGCTGCCTTAACTTACAATTATGGTGTGTGACTGAGATAATGTGAAGGGGACGATGGGAGTGGGAGTATGGCAGCACTGATGAGTTCTTTCTTTCTTCTTTCTGCTGCTAAGCAGTTGTCATCTTGTTTATTCTCTCAAATTACTAATTGCCACACTATAATCACATAAAAGCCAAATGAAAACACCACCCAAGCACTTCCACAATTTTCTTTTGTTGGTGCATCCAACAGAAGCATGAGTTATGGCTCAAGTTACTTTAGGGTTCTGAACTCCATGGCTCCTGAACATAGACTACTGTGCCTCCAAAAGAAGGGGTATCTTAGAGCCACCAACAGATGATGCTCATCAGTAGGCATTTACCTGTGACACTGTTGTAAACTCTCCTGCCACACCTTAGTGTTGTGGTACAAGCAGAAACAGTAAAGCGTACAGTGTATCATTTAGTTCATTTTACAAACATCAGAAATGTGATAACAAGGCTCACAGCCCTTTTATTAAGGGAAAGTAACTCTTATTGTGTCACCAAAGTAGTTGATATATATTTCCTGACAAAGTGAACTAAAATACCTGGACAGTGGGCAGAAGTGTAGCCCATACAAAACAGTTGATGCATGAAGAGATTCTATTGATTGATAAATTGTATTTTTCTAAGAGAAGCCATAATTACAACTAACAATTTACTTCTTAGTTGCTGTCATAAAATAATGGAAAACCATTGTCAACCTAAATAAATTCTCCTATTTTTATTTACAAGAATTTTCAAGCATGTGTACAGGAAAGAAGGTGTGCTAAAAAGTGTAAGTGTGGCTTTAAATAATCAATATGTTATATGGAGAAGTTCTGACCTAGAAATTTTAAAAGTGTATACAAATGTGTGTGTGTATGTATGCAAAAATAAGATTTTTTTGAACCTGCCCAGAAATCGGCTTTATTCATTGGCAAATTAATCAGATTTTTTATGCATATTTAAACACAGGTCTTGAACAGTAAGAAAGACAACTGTGGGTGTTCCTCGTGATGGTGCACAGAGAAGCCAAAGGCCTTGAGTACAGAGCAATCGACACTTGAATCCTAATGACTGTAAGTGGGAGCACAACCTGATATTCCATTAAATCAAAGGAGTAGCTGATATGTTAATGGAGCCAACTATTACAGACAGAAAACTCTTGCCTTTCCCCCTCATTTTTAGTTACAAGTATGGGATCATATAGGAAGAACATGTGCTTCTTTCTGTTCTATCCTTGTACCATCAGTACTATGATAATATCTTTTAATTCTGAAGCAATTAGTTCACAAGGGAAAATAAAGATAAAATCTCGACTTTCTACAGTCTTGTTCAAAGTATTTCAATGGACAGCTAAGATCTATATAGTTGGTTGGTTTGCTTTTTTTATTCTGCTAAATTAAATATTATTGTATTTAGGGTATTAGTGCTGATTTTTGGCCTCACTTTTGTTACTATCACCTTTTCACTATTAAGTTTATTCACTATTTTTAAGTTGTTGTTGGGATTCTTGGAGTTTCTTTCTTTGTTTAACTGTCCTTTGTAATTTTTTTCCAGTGTGTTCTCCAAAACCCTGTTGAACCCAATACTTAGGCAGTATTTTCATGATAACTGCTGGACTTTTACATTTAATTAAAACACACCTGTGTCAAACGCATACAGAACTTTCTTGCAATTCCACTCTAGGCAGAAAATCTACAGGATGCTTTGCAACTGAAGAGGGAAAGTTGAGGATAATTCAATTGCTGTAAACAAACAAACAAAAAATGTTATGGAACAAGCAAAGGAGACAAAACAGACAAAACCATCCTGTTTGTATTTCATCCTCTGCGCTGCAGAAGTGCCAGCACATCACACAACAGATATTAGAGAGGGAATAGGGATCTACAGCTGCAGAAATCATTCTGTTGTGCAAACAACGATAGAAGTCTCGCTCTTGCCTCACTCCTTCTTCCCAATGCTGCCCTCACAAGCTTCCCTTTCAGCTGCCTTTAGCCCAACTGCAAGGGCTTCCCCTCTGCAGATACCATCAGTGCAGAGGATGCTGTGCTGTTCCTCTCAGCAGCTCCTCAGCTAGGGCTAGCACAGAGGAATGCTTGGCTCCCAAAACATGCAGAAGGTCATTGGCTCATGGATGCCTGCCCTACTGACACAAGGGTGCCAGTGATGGCTAGAGGAGGCTGAAAGAAATTATGAGAGTAGGCTGTATGAAGTGGGAAGACCTGCATGCTGTTGATGACTGACCACTTCTAGACCCTCTGGTAACAAATGCAGAGACTTCATCTACTAGGCAAAGGCGCAAACCATGGCTCAGTTTCCTTCCATTTTGGAGAAAGAACTATCCTGCACAATAGCCGAGGCTGCTTCTGGGCTCTCTGCCATCCACCTTGGTTTGACACACCAGGCCAAGCTGGCCAAACCATTGCTGTAGTTTCCCCACTGGAGTCCTGTGAAGAGGAGATTTTTAAAGTACTCTCACTGCTGACTCAGTGTGATCAGGACTACCCAAAGGGACTACGCCCCTCTCAGGCCGAACCCTTGGAGGTGATTTCTTGGGTGCTCGCCAGTAAATTCCTGGGTAGTGACTGTGGACCCTCAGCCCAGGGCACCCCATGGTCCTGATCAAGTCCTCAGGAAACTGCATGGTCTTTCTCCCAGGAACATGGGCTGTGCTCACCCTGCAGCTGAAGCCCAGCCTTCATGAACTGGCCCGGTGCCACGTATGACTTCTCAGCATGATTTTCAAGAGTGCAGAAAAGTGATTTCACTATCCAGTCTGGGGAATGTGATACATTCAGACCACAACTATTTTGATAATCTGTACTGCTTGAAGATTCTCTCTAATTGACTTACCAGGACCATTTGTCATTTGGCCTCCTAGCCTTTGACCAAAAGAAAGTGATGGACAGGCTGAACCATGACTATTTTAGGAGCACCTCCTCAGTCTCCAAGGGTTTTGCTATAATTAGCATCTCTTTTACATTCACAACAGTGTTTTCTAAGAGACCATTCAAAGCTTACTCCCTTTTATCAGGACTTCCTCAGATCCTGGAAACCCTTTTCGGTGATCAGGTCCACTACAACTACTGAGCCAGGAAATGAAGGATTTCAAACAAAAAGTAAAGTCTTCAGTGTAACATTTTGGAATCAGAAACAATGGTACATAAAATTCTTAATAATACATAGACTTAAGCAAAAATTATACAGCTAATTTTTTTTTCATTTTAGTGTATAGTTTTTGTCTTTATTTCAAGGAGAAGGGGTGGAAAACAGGCAGAAAAAAGAAAATGTCTAATATTTTAACTTCAGAGAACTGCTGATGAGATATTTTTACCTTGAATGAATTTTATTTGTCTTGACTGTGGAGTCATAAGGTTTGGAGTCAATCAAGTTTCTGAAGGAAGAGAATGCTATATTAAGAATACTCATCTTTTTTTTTTTTTTTTCAAGAAAGGCTTTTAACGCTTCTGTACTGTTGACTATAAAATATGGAGCAAAAGGGTGGGAACATTTAATATATTGGAGCTGAAACTAAAACCTGGACAATGAAGCATGAAATGAAGTATGCTTGATATGACAGGGAAACAGAATTAACAAATAGGTAAGACAGAGAAAGTATGTTAAAGAACAATTTTAATGAATAAAAGGACACTAGGATGATTGTAACTTGAAGAGGACAAAATTAAAGATGGAAATAGGTTACAGCATGCGTAATCATCAGAACACAACAATGTATCAGAAAAATCTCTTTTCTCCTCTGAAATATTTCAAAAGCAATACATGACTGACGAAGAGCACAGTGCTTCAGATACACAACAATTTAAAGTATTATAAAGCAATTAAAAATTAAAAATTACATTCATTACACTGCGCTGTGCCATAGAATTACGTACTTGCCTATTAAGAAGGACGCTCTTCCGTTTCCAGTGACAAGCTTTCTTAAGAAGAAACCATAACAACAAGAGAAACACAAAGAGTTTCTATAACCTTGTAATCACACATGTCATACACAATGTACTATTTTCCCTCTTTATAGCAGAAATGCACACAAATAATATATAGTAGATGCTTCAAATTATGTTTTCTGTGACAGAAGTTAATTCTAAAGTAAGTATTCCATGAAAAAGAAACAGAGAAAACATTTTTACATGTCTATCATTTGTCCTTAGAGGACAAAAAACAAATACGTTTTCTAAAGCTTGACACTGGTATTATTCTGTGTGGCCTCCGGCTATATGCTTTTTCCAGTTTGTAGAATTGAAGGGATAAGAAAACAGCTTTGCATTAAGAGGAACACATTGTACAGGTTAATCATTACCATGCAGAAATCAAAATGCTGCCAACAAAATAATGGCATACTAGTGCCAAGGGAGTCACCAGGATGACTGTGAGGGAAGCTGCGGGAGAATAACAACTCCTTTGAATGTGGGGAAGTATTGGAGGCATGTGCTTCTAAATTAATTATTGATGTGGCTGAAACAGAAGTTTTTACTACTGTCGACAATAGCAAATACTCGTAAAAATTTAATTGGCTAAAAGTTAATTTCAGTGTTCCTCAATCATGAAATGCATTAATTGTGAAGAGCCTTTTCTTAGATGTTTAAATTTTAAAAGGAAATAAAGCAGAAAAGCAGAATCAGGCAGGGGAATTTAACAAATGTAAAAATGTTGACAGAAGTGGGAGTCATTACTTAGTCAATATTGTATCAATTAACCAAATTAACCATAATCCCCGATGAAAACTAAGTAAAATGGCATAATTTTCTAGTTTGTCTGACTCATTCACATTATACATTATGTGTGTACATTAGCATATACAAATCAGGCAAACTAAAAGGCAAAAGGCAATGCCACATAAAATGTGGGAGAATTAGACAAAACAGTGTTTGTAAGAATTTTAAATGTTCTAAATCCATTAAATAATAAATAAATCATACAGTGTACTGGTGACAGTTGTTACTTTTGAAGGAGAGTGGCTAGTCGGCTCCCAGCTACAAGCTTTCCTTAGGCTGCAGATGGGAACATCAGAGAATCACTTGCTTATATTCTAAACAAATAGCATCCAAAGCCATTGGTAGAAGGGATAAGAAAATATGGATTTCCACTTTAACTAGGTAAAGTAGAACCATAAAACAGTAAGAAAAGTGAACAAGTTCTTTGTTAAGATGTGTAACATCAGGCTGAGACTGCCATAACTGCAATGATAGTCTTTTTAGGTAATACTGACACTGAGTTTTTAATTCAGCACCATTGACTATCATAGTATAGCCCTATTTAAATAATTGAAATGGAAAACTACCTATATTATTGGGGAGCAAAGCTTGAAAAAGATTTTCTCTTCACTTACTGAGTTTATATTTTTAGCCCTGAGCATGTAACATCTCAATACCTCTGAGAAGCTCTGAAAAGAACCTGTTCAGAGGGGACAACATAAAAGATAACAGCAAGCAATATTATCACTAGAGTAATAGGACAGCCTTTAGCTCCCTTTGAATATAGGGACTTGTGGGAACCGAGGAAAAGCTCATCTATTTGCTATGCTTGTCTGAACACAGCAATAAACTCACAGAAATACCTGAGAAGGCCACTCACCCTCCAAATTCCTTGTATGAGAAACTGTGGAGAAGCTTCCTTTGACACTGGTATAGAAAACATGAGGGAGCATAAGAAAAAGCATTGACAACACTATGAGATTCACTGTAACTTCTATATTTTCTCTTTCTGGACAGCAATGAGAGTGAAACACTTGGCTGAGCAATATTGATGACACACAGGATTGTTTGATGTTCTTGTCACCATTGTTTATTAAATCCAACAGAAAAATATCTAAAGCTGGTGTTATTTAGTTACTTTAACAGTCATAGATGTTAACATCTATGTTAACATTTTAACATAACTAACAATCCTATCATTTTCTTCGTGAACTTTCTCTGTTAAAAAGAAAATAAAACATTATTAATTGGTAAGGGCCAGGTTTTAGCTCTGAGCTATAATTATTTAAAAAAAAAAAAAATTGGATTAAACTATACGTGAAATTGCCCTGAGATCACTTCAGCTATGAGACTGACATAGATAAAAGACACCTCCCTCTAATGCTGTATTGGTTTCTGAGAACTGTGGTCATGTAACAGGTGCCACAAAGGTCCTTCCCACTGTAGCTTGTTGAAATTGTTTACCACAATGTACTACAGTAAATTTGCCCACACTATACCTAGATCACAAATGGGTACAACTCTCACCCACTTTCATCCTATGGTTTGGAGGTTTGCACATATATTTATATTTAAGAGAGTTACAAAATTCAAACAATGTAACAAGGAACAAAAGAAGCAGCAATGGACAATCTTTTGTTTGTATAGTTTTACTGATAACACAAAGTCACTATAACTAGATCTAACCAGTAATACTATCCATTGGAAATAAACTACTTAAAATGTGAAGTCTGGGGGCTGTAGGAGCAAATTTTTCTGCTGTTCTTAGGAAAAGGCCAGTGGCAAAAGCATTAGGCAGTACATGTTCCTGTTTAACGTAGGCTGGATTAGTTACTAAAAGTCTTCTAAAGGAGCTTATTTGTACAGAAGCTCAAGATTTGGTCTGAAAAGGCTGCTTCATGGGTTAATGTATTCACCTATAAATAAAAGCAGTGACAGCTCTCCTGTCACTACATGCTGATGGACGGTTCCTTTTTCTACCATTACAGCCTTGTGAATGTGGGAAAATTAATTTAAGTGGTAGTTAATTTCTAATGAATTCCATTCAAGCGGTTAATATGGTCCCTTGATGTTATGGTAACCTTCATGGATCATTGCATTATGTAAATAAATTCTACTTTATGCTGGTTTATTAAAAAAAAAGGAAGATTGGTGAGTCCAGTCAAACCTTCACGAATACAAATATGCATAAAATTTCTCCAGAAATCACTAAAAATAGACTGTTTAAGAGGATTACACTTGATATCCTACAAAGCATACCATTCATCTTTACAAGTCATCTAAATTTTATATCATTTTGGCAGGATCATCTATTATTTGGAGCAGAGAATAAGAAGACTTTTGGAAAGGAAACCTCTTCACTCAGAATTGTATTAGAAATGCATCCTGTGTGTCCTTGAGGGACTCTCCAAGCCTTTAGCTCAGCTGCTTTGCACAGGCATGAATCACTGGACAGGCTTCACACATCCCAGCTCCTGCTTTATCCCCTCTTCTGGAGAGAGACCTCTTACAGGGTGTGTTCTGTAGAGAACATATACATGGCATCTTACTCCCTGAAGTCATGATTCTTCCAGCTTATATCAGGGGGGTTTAGATTAGGATGTGTTATTTTACTGAAATACTAAAATCCTTAAAGAAAAAAAAATGGTGTGCCATATTTATTTTAAAATATTAATGTATTTTGGTATTCAAATTCATGTCCATGTACCTTCTGAAAGGTAATGAAGGGTTCTTTTTACTGTGCCATACATATTACTTGAAGGATATTACATATTACTTGAAGGTTCTTTTTATTGAGCAATACATATTACTTGAAGAACACTGTGTAAGAACAGAGCCTTCTATGGTGCGTAAGTTGAGTGAGTTTTTTGATATCCCTAGTAATATGTGTTGAAACTAAACCCCTTATATATGTCTAAACTTAGGAAGCTAAAAAAGAAAAGACAACAAAATGGCCTTTGCTCTTAGTGGCTATTTCAAGCAAACAAAACCCAAAACATAAGGTGCTGTTCAGTCTTTTGGTAGCCTTATGCACCCAAGCCACTTGATGATAGACAACAATTAGTGTATATCTAGACAGAAATACATTACAGCAGCTGGCCCAGATAACTTATGACAGGGGACTTTAAAGAGCTGGGTCAGGATATTTTTGGCCTATTGATTTAATATATTCTTTAAAATACTGAAATACCAGCAGTTGAAAGTAAGGGCCACAAACTTGTAAGCTAAATTCTGCAGTGTAAAAGGGTTTTGATATGGAACAAAAGTAATGACATGAAAATAAGCAGAAAATAGGATTAAGTGAAACATGATGCAGCTTGTGTACACCATGTCAAGCAAAAGTATCTTTCTTTGACTTTTAGAAAGAGAGAAAAATACAGTAGATCTAATCTATCAGGACTTCAGAAAAATATGTGACAGTTCATTTATGTAGTTAACTAAAACACAGAAAAAGAGGACCACCTAATGGATTTTAAGATTAGTAAGGACGTGACTAAAAGTGAGATGTATGAGAGGAAATGCTTGTAGGCAATATCTTTTATTAGACAATTGAGACAGTTGGAAATAAAGCTGGTAAGCTTTGGGCATACACGAGAATGACTTGTGTTCTCAAAAGCTTTCCTATTTTTTTCTAACTATATCAGTGATCCAATAAAATATATTACCTCTCCTTACAAACCTTATCTCACAAATTCAAAAGTTACACAAAAGGGCTGTTAGGATGATGAGAGGAGCAGAAAGACTGCTTTGTGAGAAAAGACTAAAATTACTTGTTTAGCTTAGGAAAACAAAGACTGAGAAAGGATGCGATAGCTGCCTAGAAATAAATATCAAGCAGGTAAATTCCACAGGAACAGAAGTGTTATTTAACATAAAAGATAGTGTTGGCATAAGTATAAACAAGTCCTGAATAAATTTAGAGCTGCAGTTAGAGGAGTAGGAAGAGGAGGGAAGTCCTAGACCCTTTCAAAGAGCAGTGCTAGCAAAAGGCAGTTAATTTTTAATGCAGAACTTAGTAAATTTATTTAAATAATTGTATTAAGTAGTTGCCAGAATAGCAGGGAGTTGGAGTCTATGTATATATACTGCCTTTATGACTTTTTCCAGGGACCACCAATTCTCCCAGTGAACTGGCCTAGAGCTGATTGTAACCATACTACTCATAGGCAGCATCTTTTAAAGTACCCCTGTAGACTCTGGGACTGCTTGTTCCCAGCCTTTTCCTCATTTAGACACTGTTTGCTACCAGTCTTCAGCCACGTACAACAGAGAGGTTGACATTATTCCCTGCCTGTTCCTTTGCTTACTTACAGCCACTAAATGGAATCAGTACTATTTTTAGACAAAACAACTTCACAAAGTTAACTTTTTTTCATTTTTGCACAACATAGCACATAAAACCAGGTGGCTTCTTGAAAACTACTTCTCTCAACACTGTATTCACATTTACGGACAACGGATTTCAAAGTCTAATGCACAAGTTTCTAGGTGAAATGGTGAATTTTCCATTTCTGGAGGCAGGTGGATAACTCCAGCAAGTGACAGCTTCATCTTGGGTGCCAATATTCTCCTCGTACCCACTTTCATCATTTTTAGACCAGGTTCAATGTGTTCACTGTGATGAAGCTCTCATAAAGATTGCTGCTTCCACTACGAGTGGGATACAGAGCAATAACGAAACTGCTGTGGTTTATCTCCCAGAGGTATAGAAGTAAAACACCACCACTTACCTAGAAAAAATGGGCTGTAAACTGTGACAGTTCAATAACAGCTTCGTGGGCAGTTCAGCTATTCCTACAGGAAGGCAAACTCAAGTCCTGGAGAGCACAGGAGACCAAACAGGTTAGGGCATGACCCCTCGTAGTTGTGGTGAGTTAAACTTTCAGCTCATCAGAAGAAAAACAGCCCCTTCTCAGCCTTCCCCAGTTTAAACCACTGGTACAGGTTTCAAACTGCAAGTTATTCATCTGATGAGATGCAATGGAATGAATGTGTGTTTAAATGTTATAATCATTAAAGTTATAATCAGCCTTATTAAACAGAATGGGGATACTGTGTCTTTAATTTGCACCATAGAAGTCGTTAGATAGTTTTCAGCAGTGTATAATAAGGTACATCCACCCTTGCTGATTCAGAACTGGAGAATATGGTGACACTACTGGTACATGTAAGCTGGTAATGAAATCTCTCCAGATTCAGGTGTATGAAGCTCCCTGAAACCACAGAAAGACCATGGCACTACAGAGGAGATAGCAACCACAGACAAAGCCTGACAGTCATTAATATACATGAGCTCTGTATATTTATCCTGCGGTTGACCTAAATACATCTCTACCTGTTGCCTATCTGGAATCTGAGAGTCTCATTCCCTAGAACAGTTCTGAGAAATTAAGGAAGTTCAGTCATCACAACCGCAAATAATTTTAATAACTGTATGATGGAAACGGTCACAGGAGACATCAGTTGTCTTGTTCCTACTCCACTGTGGGGATTTAAAGAATGAAGAATTTCTGGAAGGGATAACCTAGACACAAAACCACCATGAAACCAGAAGCTGCAAATGTAATTGGAACCTGAGTCTTATTTCAGTTTTCAGTGTACAGATCCTTCTTCCTGTGTTACTGGGTCCTATTTATGCCTTAAGCCATTTTACATTCTAGCTGTGCACTCCTTATCATTCCCCTCCCCTTCACCTTATGCCCACACAACATCTGTGGAAGGGGGAGAAATAAAAAAGCATATGTAACTGATATAGATTGGTATTTTTAGTATTCCAGGACTAAATATTTGGCCTGGGTAGCTTAAGTAGCAGCTGTGTACCCGTTGAAAACAGCTGTTTAAGCAGCACAACATTCAGAAAGTCTGTAATGAAGGATGTGAACCCTTAGCTACCAACCACTAGGCTACTGGCTGACATTATTTCAGATTCTTGTTTTGTAGTTTATTTAAACAAACCCAAAATAAATATGCATCACCTCCATCTCTAGTCACCTTCCTCACATCAGCCAAATTACAGAAAGTTTCAGAATTTGATGGGGTTTTTTTGGGAGCACATCTCTAAGAGTTTGTGGATACCAACTGAAATGGTACTTAGAAGCGTGAGATTCAGTATTCCTGCGTAACAGATGAAGAAACCAAGACAAAGGCAAAATTACCTTTCCAAGATTATAAAGCACGTCAATGGCAGAGTAAAATTATAATTCAGAGCCTTCTGGTTTCTAATCCTATAATCCTCTTTCCAAAATCTATTAGCACAACCAAGTATGCTGTTCCAGTGATGGCTGTGAATGCTCCATTCTTTTGCACACTCCACCCCAGGTATCACAAACTGACCATTCAGATGACAACACATGCATAATTCACAGCCGCACTAAACATCTCAATTCAAATTACACCACATCTCAGTTTCTGACTAGCAACACTAGATTCAATGGCTTTAATTCTGAAACAACTTTTCCTAATTGTAGGTTGTTGAAATAGGCTGAGTCAGCCCTGTATAAAAACTTGTCTTATGCTAAATGGGGAGATGAAAACATAGCGATTTGTGCCTCCTTTTTATGTACAGTAATCCTATCTCTGAATTCACTCCAAGTTGCTGAGTGTAGGCTGTATTTAATAGACACCAACCTAGCATGAGTACCCCACACTACTGCATTCAAAACACCTGGAAGGAGCTGTTTCTAGGGACAAAGTAGAAGTTGTATAAAAGACAAAAAAAGGGCAATGCTAAAGCCTCAATTGTGTACATAAGTGAGCCTAAAACTTTGCAGAAACTTGCTGGGATCTGAAATAATTATTTTTATCTTCTTTCCTGCAGACATCTACACAAAACAGTTTACTCCACCCAAAAAGCAATGATTCCTGGGTATTGCCTTTTTATTTGGATTAAAGTTTGGGAAACTGTAGAATAGTATACCATAAACACCAGAGAGGACTTCCCTGAAGGAAGATGAGGCTAAGAACACTCCCTAATACATTCTGAATAATCAATATAACATTAAATAAGAATTTTAAACACTGGAACTTAAAAATAAAGTTATGATAACTTTATACTAACTAAAATGCCATCATCTCCCCTCAAAACCCACAGTGAAAAGCAGCAAGGGTTGTTTACGTTGGCATTACTGAAGCTACATGGGATTATGTGTTGCAACTTAACAATTATAAGACATTTTTACCTCACCTATGAACAAAACCAAAAGCTAGAACACCATCTTTCAACATATATTTATTTACCACTTAGGAACCCACCTGAGTTTGAAACTATTGGTGCTGTTGTAACAACTTTCAACATCTAGAGTTTTGTGTTGTTTTTTAGAAAGATTAATTGCATATTGTAATAATGCACATCAACGGACTTTATTTTCATTATGCTTTAATTAAATACATATGCATCTCGAGAGTCTGATGATTCAGCTTTACCCATACTAAATTAACAGAGACGTGATTTTCACGGCTAAGATAACAAGAGATCCTAAAAATTGTGGCTTTCCGTTTCAGTTCTCAGCGTCCATGATCAGAAGTTACGGCAAGGGCCCTTAAGAACTCAACCCGCCCTACTTTAGCGTTAAGAAGAAAGGCTGCCACCTTCATCATTTGGCGATCTGTGTCTCCAGCAGCCAGGTTCCAGATGTCGCTGGGCAGAGGGCGAGGTGCCAGCGGCAGGGATATGGAAAGCCGGACTCGAGGCTAACATTGCGTTCACTCTCTGCCCTCCGGCGTCCCGCGGCTGCGTTCCGGCCGCAGGGCTACAGCTGCCGCTGCTTGTGCCGGGGGTTGGTTTTGCAGAGCACGTAGAGCCGGCCCCGCCGCCGGACCATGAAGCAGTCCTTGCAGCGCCTCTTCAGCGACACTTTGCTCTTCAGCCCCGCGACGAGCGGCGGCAGCAGCCCGGCCGGCGGGGGCAGGGCCAGCAGGGGGCGGCGGACGGCTGTCCCGCACCACGGATGCAGGGCCCGACTCACCGGGGCGGGCAGTAGCACCGCCCGCCACCACGGAGCCAAGGAACTGAAGGGCGAGCGGCCCAGCGAGCCGAGCGGCCCAGCGAGCGCCCTGGCCAGAAGAGCCAGCATGCTCTGCACCCTGCGGGATAGAGCACTGTGAGGACACACACCACACCACACGCCACGCCACGCCACGCCACAGCAACAACCCTCCCTGTCCCTCCTTCTCTTACCGTCCCTAGCCCCTAACGGAAAGCACCCAGCACTAACCGGCACAACCACCGCCCCCACCTTGGACCGCAGATCGCCACTCACCGCCTCCACACACCCCGCGCATGCGCCCACGCCACGGCCCAACGGAAAGGCGCGGAAGCCGGAGAGGGGCGGGGCAAGAGTAACTGCCGCGCCTGCGCCCGCCGGCGGAGGGAATCACGTGTCCGGCGCAAGATGGCGGCGCCCGGCGCGACCTTCCGCCGCTTGCTGTTGCTGCGCCGGTCGCTGCCTGTGGCGGTCGCCGCTCGGTCTTACGGTGTGCGGGCCTCCGGTACCGGCGAGTTGGTGACGCACACCGGGCAGGTGAGCGTGCAGGGCCGCGGAGAGAGGAGGGCGGCACGGCGGTCGGTGTTGCTCCTCTGCAGGGGAGGGCGGGCGCGGCAGGGCCGCGTCTCCCACTGTTCTGGTGCCTGTGGAAAAGCACTGCCGGTGTTGCGAATGGCACGGTGGTGTGCTTCATCTAGTATGCGGTGAGGAAATGGGTGCTCTTGGATGATATATAAGCAGAGGTACGCGCGGTCTCAGACAAAAAAGAAGTTAATTTGGGCGGTATGTCCAGCGTGAGAAGTCCCTGCGTATGGCAGGGGTTTGGAACCGGATGATCTTTAAAGTCCCTTCTAACCCAAACCATTCTATGATACTATGAACTGGGAGCAAGGTCACTAACTGTTACTAAGTGCTGTGGTATGAGTCCAGCGATTGACACGGGTGGAGAGTTCTCAGGTAGGAGGTACCCTGCTGTCAGTACCCCGGTGTCAGTGCCTTGTAATTCCTTGTCATCTGTTCTTCGGTGTCAAAACTGAGCGTGAGAGCTGGGGAGGCTTGTGTACTGTCTTGTAGAGGTGGGAGACAAGCATGGCTGGTGGAGCTAGTGCAGGAGGGTCCTCGCTGTGCTTACTGAACCCAAACATAAATAAACATGAAACTTGAATTTTCTACTTTAGTCCACCTTACAGATGGCAGTGTGGGATCAAGGAACAGCATTATAAGTAATTTTTTCTTTGTCTCTATTGTCAGAGCTAAGGCTTCTATTTACTGGCTTTAGCCCCACCTCCCCCTTTCTTTTCTACTTTCCAATCTAAAATGTACTTTACTCTGTGACAGAAATTTTCTGTACAGAGCATACATGTAAGATGATGCTAATGCTCGGAACTGAGGAAACAATTTCAACTGTTTAGTCTTGACAGTCTATAAGCCTTTGTGTTGTTTATTTATTGTTATTGCTTTTTAAATCAATCAAGTTTATTTTATTTCTTAGGTATATGATGAAAAGGATTATAGAAGAGTTAGATTCGTTGGACGGCAAAAGGAGGTAACTCATTCTACTTTTAGTCATAGCAGAGGGTGTAGTTTGAGGGATTTCTTATATCTGATATTGATGATTGATGTCCTCAACCTGCATGTCATTAAACAAACAAACCTAAACACCAAAAAAAAACCCAGCAACAAAACAGCAAACCAACCAAATCCCAAAACTGCAACCAGAAAAAAAAAACAGCAACCTACTAAAACCAATCTGATACAGATTTTGGTTTCTGGTGCGTTTTCCATTACATTGAAAGTTCTAATTTTAAGACAGTTTATAGTAATTTTTGTGTACCTTTCTACTTTTTTTGAAATTCAAGACGTGGCCTGCACCTGCTAAGTGCATTAGGCATTTGAACATCTTAAAATTGGACTTATTGGACTTTCTATCTTATGTGTTTTAAGAAAATTTTAAGCTTGTTTTTCGTGCAGTTTGTGTTCAGAAAATAACATAACTAAATGCCCTGTTGAATTGTGCTTCTACACATGTGTTTAAATGCATGTTTAGAAGCTTAATCTGCTGTCACATATTTAAAATCCTGAGCTTTGCCTAAATTGAGTTTTTAATAAAGCCGCTTCATTTCCAGACCCTGGAGCACATTTGCTGAACAGTGACATAACAGGTAAAACTAAAATTTAGAGTATTCTGAAATAATGAAGCCTCAAAGGCAAAGTCAAGTAACACCAGCATCAGCCAAATGTACAGTGAAGTTACCTGGTGCACCTGTTGCTGCTGCTTATCAATAGAGTGGGTATGTGAAATTATAAGTCCTTTAGCACAGGGATCTCTCTAATGATCAAACAGTGCTGCTCCATTGGGCATCTGCTGGTCTTAGAGAGAGAAACAGAGATAGTTTCAGCTAAATTGTATTCTTCAGTGCCTGAGCATCTGATGAGTGCCTTAATGTTAATGCTATAAACGTGTATATATAGTAGAGGCATTAAATATAAGGTGTGATAGATTTTTAATGCAGTTTTGTGTAATTATTCCCTTCCTAAATTAACTTGAAGTAATTATGCTGATTTTTGAGATTTTTTATTGAGTATACTTCTTTATATTGCTACACTTGTGCTGTGTGGCAGAAATGAGGATTCTACATGGGAAACAGTTAAATGAAAATGTCGCTTAAAATGCTGAAGTAGTTTACTTCTGGGAGGATAAGAGCAAAGTAGGTCTTTCCCAAATGCAATGGCTGTTTTTATGCTACTTCTGTAACCTTGTAGGAAACACTTCTTAAGCCTAATTCTCCATAGGACATTGGTCCCTCTGATATGCCTTTGCCAGCAGCTGATTTCAGACTCTCTGTGGTAAGGATCTTTCAGGATTTTCAGTTCAGCCTGAATCCTCCTTCTCCGGTAAAAGACAAGCTTTAAGTCTGCTGAGCAAGGTTTAATGCTAGGGTTTAATTGTGAAACTGGGAAAAAAATTTACTAAATTAAAAAAAATTACTAAAATGAAAATAAAAAAAAAATACTAAAATGATCTTCATCTGTGCTTACTAATGGGATCTCTCTCTAGGAGCTTTGCCGTTATTCCCTAGTGTGTTTCAGCTGCTAGTGTTCGGGTTTCACAGCCGCATCTGTAGTATGATTGTTGTACTGTGTCTCAGAAATGTTGTGAAGAGTGGAGTTACACTTCTGATCTTGAAGCAGTGGTGTGCCATGGTGGTATCTACCTCTTCCTTCAGCATGAAATAAAGGATGCAAAGTTTTGAGCATTATTAAAAGCAGCAGTAAAAATCATTGCAGGTTGGCAAAGATTACATGTGACTTGCAGATGCAGGCCTCAGCCTGTGAGATTCTTGATATTCCCAATTTGCTTCAATACCAAAAAATATTTTTTGTTACTTTATTTAGCTAGCGTCTTCCTTAGGTAAAGAAGATCTTGTTGCTAGCAAAACTGACTTTTCAACCGCTATACCAGAAATGCACATTTGGGGTGAATTCAGTTGGAGGCTTGGTGAAAGATCCTAAGTTGTGTATAAAACTATTATTGTAGTTCTTAGTGACTTATGTTTTTCCTAAGGATCTCATCTTCATTCAAATACCAGCATGTCTGAGCCTTACACAGAGAGCATTAGATAGTGCCTTCTTTGGGTTTGTGTATTATTTTATGTATGTGCATGTACAACATTGCCTTTGAAAAAGCTGGCCCCTCCTGGTGCATGTTTACGTGAGGGGTAGGAGGGGTTGTCTGCTCACTGCTGGCTCAGATCCTGTTGGAAGAGGCTGGTGCAGATGAGGGAAGAAAGCGCTGTGGCTGGGCACTGCAGGTCCTGCTGAGACACGAGTTTCTGTGTCGCAGGTCTGCCCAGAGGTAGGTACATTTGCAGGTGTGACCTAGGGAAAAGCCGTACTTGTCACTGATGTGTGTGTTCAGGAAGTATGTATAAAATGGGTTTACAGAGTGGCACATCTTTTCTAATGCTGAACAGTTTGCCTTTCTGACTGTGGTTATGCACCCTGTTTATGGATTCCTGTGCAGTGATAGAATAAGATGCATGCTGAGAGGCTCTAAATTACCAGCAGTTGTTTTATCTCACTCCTGACCTTATCTGTCCCACTATTATTTTTATCAGCAGTGAGTCTTTTGTGATTTTATCGGGTAGTCACTAAAACACAATACAGAGGCAGTGTCAGTTAAATGTCTTGTGTTCTTGGCTGCTTGGTCCTGCTCACCTTTCTCCTGAATCTGATTAGGTCACATTGTAAGCCTGAACACTGATGTGGCCTGTGTATCTGGGAAAGGGATTGCTTTTGCAGAGTTGACCATGCAGTAGTGACATGTAGTCACTGATCTGGCTTATAGCACAGCCTAAAAGTTGGTGAAGGAGGTGGGAGGAAACTCAGAAAGGAACTTTTCAAGATGGCTGTAGTGGAACTGCTTGTGGAGGCAGGAAATGGGAATTGCTTTCTGTCTGAGTAGGAAGGGTATCTCAAAGTTTCTTTTTTTCTCTTACAGGTGAACAAGAACTTTGCGATTGATCTGATAGCAGAGCAGCCTGTGAGTGAAGTTGAAAGCAGAGTGATATCATGTGATGGTGGTGGTGGAGCTTTGGGACATCCTAAAGTGTACATAAACTTGGTAATATCTTTGTTCTGCATATAGGATGTTTTGCCTGTAAATTCTTGTTTGTAAGTTTGTACTTTTGGGTGTGCTAGTTTAACAAAAAAGGAGCCTGCGATGCTCATTTTATATAGTGCCTAATGTAAAATTAAGATCTCTAGTCAGAAGAGTTAGAGGGCTTCCATTTCAAGTGGCAGAAATTTCTTTTTGAAATTTTGATTTGTTTGATAAGACAGTAATTCTGGGGTTTTTTTAAGAGTTTAACTGAAACAGTGTGAACAAGCAGTGCCCTGAGAGCAAAAAATAACATGCTGCGTGTATTTTCAGACACTTACTCTCATTATTTAAATGCCACTGTGGTGTAGATTTAGGATACAATTGCAGCATTGTTAGGAACATGCAGTTTATTTTGAACCTTGCAAGTTCAAGGAAAAGAAGAGGGGAGGGGGAAAACCCTAAATAAACAAACCAACCAATCCCTCTTTCAGTCTTTCAGAATCTTTGTAGTTCCAAAGATTAAATGTTTCAATC